ATAAAAAATCTAACACTACTCAGTATACTACTACTTTAGATCTAGAAGACTCCAGTCTAGACTCAAACTCCAAAAATATTAACTATACACAGAAAATATACACATATTCCTGCCCATATGAAGAACCAGATCAACTTCATTTATGCACAGGAACCTGCCTACTGGTTGGTCAGGCCAGAAAGAAAATTAACACTTGGTCCTACTACTGGGCCAAATATAGTACTTCTTTAAATTATATTTAACTATAGTAACCTAGGTGAGTCTTTGACCACTCTAGTAGGTTTAGGTCATAGATAAATCTTTCTCTGTCTGAGCTCTTATTCTTGTATGTAATTTTTATTTTTATTTGTACTGGTGCAAATAGTAGTAGTTTTGTAATTCTCTATATTTAGTGGTTTAATGGTTAGCTCTGACTACAAGTGGAAGCCTCGGCAACTGCGCTGTAATAATTTACTATATTACTATTAAAAAATTATTACTAATAAAGATATGAGCAAGGCCTCACCTTAAAACCAAAAAAAAAAAAAAAAAGCCAAGTAGCTTATTTTAGTAGATCTTTAAGCTGAGAATAAATTAGTTCTAGCTATAGATTTCTATAATTATTTATATAAACTATTAAACAATATAATACATAATTATTCAATAATAACCAAGACAGGATCTTACTTTTTTTTAAAAAAAGTGTATAGTTTAAATATCAAAAAATAAATATAATAAAGATTTTTAAATTAAAAAAAGAAACTTTTATCATTTTTAAAAACTTTATATTTTATAGTATAGTTTTTTAAGCAGTACTATTGTTATTTGTTAGTTTTAAAAATTTTAAGTTTTTAGTAAAGTTAATTAAATATTGTTATGCTTGTTGTAGTTATTAAATATTAGATCTTGTAGTAATTAAATCTATATTTGATATAAAAAGAATAGAAATTTTAAACTTTTAGTCAAATATTGATTTGATTAATTGAAATATAATTTTTTTAAGTTTTTAAAATTTGTAATAGTTGGTTTAAAAATTTAAATGATATCATAGTAGATAATAGATATATATTAGTTTATTAACAATCATTTTATTGACATATTAGTTCACTAACAATTAATTTACTAATAAGTTTATTTTACTAACAATTAATTTATCAACAAGTTTATTTTACTAACAAGTTTTTTTATAAATTACAAAAATCTTAACTCTAATTCTAGCTAATCTTAATAATAATAATCAGAATTACTTTGTCTATAAAATGAGTTGTCAGTGAATTAATTGTCAGTAAAATAAACTTGTCAGTAAATTGATTGTTAGTAAACTAAGATATTAGTAAAGTAATTGTTTATATATAGATAATAATTTTGGCCAAGATTTGTAAAATTTTAAATATAGAAAAAGTTTGTTAAATGCTTTTTTAAGATTAAGATCTATAATTTGAATATTAGTAGTAATAATTTTGGGGATTATTTTTTATACCCCCAGATTTATTATTTATACTCCCAGCAAATTTAACTTTTTTTAAACTTTAAGTAAATATATCTTAGTAACTACCAAGCTAAACTTAATAAATTTTTTTTATTTGAATTCTATAAATTCATAAAATTTAAACAAAAAAATGTTATTGAATTTGAACCAGTAGTTGCTGAGATATCTTTATTCAAAGTTTAAAAAAAATTAAAATGTCTATTAAACCAAACTATTCAAAATTTTCTTTAAACTTTGAGTGATGATATCTCAGCAACTACTAAGTTAAATTTGATGAACTATTTTGTTTAAATGCTATATTTCTATAGAATTCAAATAAAAAAAAAATTTATTGAAATTGACTTTATAGTTGTCAAGATATCTTCACTCAAAGTTTTAAAAAAAATTTAAATATCTATTAAAATAAAAGCTGTGCCAAAAGTTTTTCTAAACTTTGAGTAAAAATATTTTAACAACCACCAAGCCAAATTTGATGAACTTTTTTTGTTTAAATTCTATGTAATCATAGAATTTAAACAAAAAAGTTCATCAAATTTGGCTTGGTGGTTGTTGAGATATTTTACTCAAAATTTAAAAAAAATTTTGATGTAACTTTTGTTTTGATAGATGGTTTAATTTTTTTTTTAAAAATTTGAATGAAGATATCTCAACAACTATCAAGTCAATTTTAATATTTTTTTTATTTGAATTCTATAGGTTTATAGCATTCAAACAAAAAAAAGTTCATCAAATTTGACTCAGTAGTTGCTGAGATATCTTCGCTCAAAGTTTAAAGAAAATTTGCATGGTTTGTTTTAATAGATGTTTTGATTTTTATCAAACTTTGAGTGAAGATATCTCAGCAACTACTGAGTCAAATTTGATGAACTTTTTTTGTTTGAATGCTATAAACCTATAAAATTCAAATAAAAAAAAATTTATTGAGTTTGGCTTAGTAGTCGCTAAGATATCTTTGCTCAAAGTTTAAAAAAATTAAATTTGTAGAGAGTATGAATAATAAATCTGGGTATAAAAAATAATACTCTAATTTTTAAGTATACTTTGAAGTAACAATAAAAAAATAAGAAAGTTTAGGGTTTAAAAATTTTTTTAAAGAGTTTTAACTTATTGAATTTGATAGATTTTTAATTAAGTATAATAAATTTTTGTTCTGTTTAATTAGTAAGCCTATAGAAATCTTTAAAAGAAATTAGTAAAAAAAGTAGCTATATAAAATTGATGAATAGATGATTTACCAGTTTTCTGGAGAGCTAGGTAATACAGGTTATACAAGATTTATATATAAATTATATATAAAATCTTTAAATAGTAAATATGAAGATTTTTTAAAGAAATATAAAAAAAAACTTTTTTTTTTATTAAGTATATTACTCTTGGGTTTCTAACAAGAGTTGTAGAGCTCATCAAAATACATCTAATGGTAGTGAGAATGCTAAAATCAGTCTGGTGGTTCTTGAGAAATCTTTAAAAAACATTTTGCTGACATAAAATTTCTTTAAAAAAAAATCAATTTTTTTTAAAGAAATTTTATATGTTAGCAAAACATTTTTTAAAGATTTCTTAAGAACTACCAGGCCGATTTTAGCATTTTTACCACCATTAGATGTGTTTTGATGAGCTCTACAACTTTAGTTAGAAGCCCAAGAGTAATTTACTTAGTAAAAAAAAGTGTTAAAAGAAATCTCTCCACATTTGGCTTAATATTAAATTTTACTTATAAAATTTGCAGATCCTCTCCAAATGATAGATGAATTGTCTATTAAATAAAAAATCAAATTGTTATAGTTAAATAAATATATTTAAAAACAAATAAGATTTAAAAAAATTATTCAAAAAAATAAGTAGTTAGATTGTAAAAGTTGTGTATAGTATTTGGTATAAGGATTGTCACAGATTATAATAAAATCAAATTAAAATAAAATGAGAGGTTTCTATTTGATCCTTTAAAATCTATTTATACTTGTTTATTATAAAACCTGCTTCTAAACCCTAATTCTAACCCTAAAAAATGCTAAAAAAGTGTATCCCAAAAATTTATATTTTTTGGTAGCTTGTCTATTTTACACTATTGCTCATTTTATTTTAATCTGGTTTCATTTTAATCTGTTACAAAGATTATATAGTAGTTAGATTTATATATATATATAATATAATATAACTTTAATATTAATATCTATATAGCTTTAAATAGATAGAATAGTAAAAAAATAAGTCTCTTTGAAAATAAGTTTTTGTATTTGTTTTTTTTTTGATTTTAAGTTGAGGCTTTGCTTATATCTTTATTAGCAATAATTTTTTAATAGAAATAATATAGATTACTATAATGCAATTATCAAGTCTTTTATTTGTAGTTAACTACTAAATATAAAAATTACAAAGCTAATATTATTTGTATCAGTACAAATAAAATAAAATTATATATAAGAATAAGAGCACAAACAAGAAAAAAATTATCTGCAATATAAGCCTACTAGAGTGGTTAAAGACTTATTTAGGTTGCTATAGTTAAAATATAATCTAAAGAAATGCTATACTTGGCTCAAAATATATACCAAGTATTAATTTTTTCTAGTTTAACTAACTAGTAAGCAAACTCATATATGTAAATATAGTTAATCTAATGATTCATATAGACAAGAATATGTATAAAGTAATGGGAGGTATAATGGTATACCTAAGAACAACTGGCAATAAAATTTTTCTAAAGAGGGTTGATTGCTTACAAAATTTATAACTTGTACTTCAACCAATGTACTTTAATTAAATTAAAAAAAATACTTTAATAATAAAATATATATTATTTAATTACATGATTAAAATCATTGAAAAATTAGAAATTCCAAATTGGAAGAGTAATTTGGCACATCTATCTTATACCCAATATCACCCAGTCTAATCAAAAAATTAGTAAAATGCAATATGTAATCATTACACAAATATACCAAGATATCACTCAATAGTGTTCTTGATTACTATTACTGTTTTTTCTTTTTAGTTCCTTTATTTTTTGCTTGATTTTGCATTTTTCAACTTATGCTCAGCCTTCTTTTGAATAATAGCTTTTTTTTTTTATTTAGTTTCCTCAACTTTCTTTTTTGCTAGTTTGTTTGCATCTTTTAGAGCTTTTAGTGATTCATCATTAGTAAGAAGTTGGGTGAATGGTAATATTTTTCTTTTTTTGGTTGCTGCAAAGCTTCACTAGTCTCAATCTCATTAGCAGCAGACGATATATATGAAGCTAGATATTTTAGTATTAGTTTCAGTAGAGAAGTACCAAGATTCTTATATATTTTTAGTTCTTCTTGCATTGTAGTATAACTTTACTTTATTTCTTCTAACAATCTAATTTCTTTTTTAAGATACAGTTGTCCCTCATTAATATCAACCCCGTTAATATCAACCTAGGATATAAAATGAATTTCTATATGCTAAATTATATTAAAATTCTCTCATATATATCAACTTTAATATGTTCCCTCATTAATATCACTATCAACATGAATATAAAAGCGATCCAAATAGGTTGATATTAATGAGAGACGACTGTACTCATTTTTTATTTTTAGAAGTTCTATTTCTTTGAAAATATTGGCATGGTAGAATATGTGTAGTTTGGTTAAAAAGGTATATTGTCTAATAGTAATAATAGTAATGAAGTTGTTGATAATGATGAAGATAAAGATAATGAAGATAATAAGGATAATAAAAATGATGAGAATAATGAAGGTGATAAGAATAATAAAGGTAATGAGAGTAACAAAGATGATGAGCATATGAAGACAATAGTATTAAAGATAATTATAATGAAGATGATAATAATGAAAAAGGTAAAAGATCTAATCTTTTAGTTGTTAATGAGAGATTAAGATGATCAGTACTAATAGCTTCAGGGTTAAAAGGCCAAATCTCTGTAGTTCTAAATGAATTCATAATAATTTGAGGAGTATGTATTTTAATATATGCCAGCCCAAGTATTTTAGCGAAGGAATATTTTGTTACTACTTCACCATTAGTGTTGTGAAGTTTATCACTATTTTTATATATTCCTGTTTAAGTTTAGCAAATAGAATTTTAGCTGCTAAAGAATATGAGTAGTATGCAGGAGAAGTGTATATAATAAGATATTATTTTCATAACAAAAATTAATGCATGTATAGTTAATATAACTTTTGTGTTTATTGAAATTAAAAGAACTGGGTAAGTAGCATTGGTCGAAATTTTTTAATATAAAAAGCTGATATTTGGAAGATATCTAGGTGAAACATCTAAAAACAAACATTCGAATATCGTATAGATGATATAAATATAAATAATATAATCAATGAAATA